TGTGCACAGAGGAAGGTGGTGTCTGCTCGACAAGGGCAGGTTCTCTGTTGCAAATGCACAGTCTTGTCTTCCAAGAATGTAACATTTTTGGTGTTTCTTGTGGTAAGGGGCACCTCATCATCTCAGCAAAACCAGCTGGAAGGGAGCGCACGTGACTAATGCTGTCTGCAAAGGGAAGAGCAGAACCACATGATGAAACGAAAGAGCTTAGGGTTTTTGTGTAGAAAGGCAGTTCCTGTTTCTAATCTGCTCCAACAGCTCTTCAGGCAACGAAAGGTGGCATTTCATGGAGCGAGTGTGGTCAGCCAGTGCCTCGCTGCAGTTGGTGCCTGAGTGCATGTGTGTATCCTGCTCAAGCATCCTGCTTGGCTCCCCTTAGCGACACACCATTTTCATGTGTCTAGTTCTAGCTAGAAAGTGGGTGGAAATGGAAACGAACATCAGTGGGGTAGTGAATCCAGCCAAAATTAAATACAGTGCAGACACAGACTGCAATTACCTGATGTTCATCATTCAGTTTAGGTTCGCTCACCTCTCTTTTCGGTGGGAACGCATCTGTCTGCCAAAGTCAGGTTTCTCCTGTGGGAGCGTCCCGAGATGTGGGGAGCAGATACATGTAAAACAATGCAGTGATCCCTCCCCCCCAATAATTCTTGGCTTTAGGTTTTAGAAAGACCACAAACCCTTAGCTTATTACAAGTAATCCTGATCACTCTGTAATGATACACTACATTATATACTCTCCTAAACTTAATCATTCAATATCTCACTTCCTTCCCTGTAGGCATGTACTATTATATTTTACACATGGCTTCCAGCTGGTTTTCATTGTGGCCTTCAAATCATGTTTGTAGTACAGTGCGATTCAAGACCAATCACTCTATCTTTAAAAGTCAACTTCCATCATAGTTGTTTTCTTGCAAGTTTTCTACCAGGGCTGGTTAATTTGTTTGGAAAAGTGAGTTTGTGAGGTTAAAGTCTACCTGGATGAACCTTCATAAAGCAGCATCTTCCAAAACTGCTCTGTTCTGAAACGCTGAGAAGGCAACCATGCCTGTAGAGTTTAAAAATGAAATCTCTTGAAGGGATGGAAGAAATAAGTCCTGTGGGCATGGAAGGAAATCTATATCTTCACATTTGATTTGAAAGTAGATGGGCAGTCAGTGAGGAGGGAGGGAGGGGAAGGGAAGTCAGCTGCAGATGGTGGTGGCTGTGGAGGAGGAGGAGGCTGCCCTGCCTGTGGCCGGGGAGTGGTAGGGAAGGGCACGGAGGAAGGAGAGGGGAGTGGGAATGGGGGGCACGGTGCACCTACGCCGGGAGGGGCACCCTTCCGAGCCCAGCACCAGTTTTCTCGGGAAAAGGAAAGCTGAGCGTGGCCATCATTTTTATCCCTTCTCTCTGAAGCCCACCATACTACGTGTGGTGTTTTGTGGTAGGTCAGACCATCATTTGGGGGGTTTATCTGCACTGGAAAATGCACTGCAGCCTGTACTTAATCACGGAAGATCACTGGGGTTTCCTTCTTTACAGTACAGAAGCAGAGCAGCACTGACCCAAAAACCGCAGTGTTATGGCAGGGTGTGCACAACAGTGTGTGAAGCCGGTGGAAATTTTACCTGCAGATTTAAGAGCATAATAATGACCCAAAATCTGAAAATCTGGAACTGCCAAAAATGGTTAGTTTCCTCTCTGAGGCTGCGCATGCGGAGCCGGACATGAAGTAAGCAAATTGCCCAAATTGACCAACGTGTTTTACAAATGTAGTTCAAAGCAAATACTTAACAAAAAGGTAATTTAGATCTCATATTGTATCATGTGCCTCAACAGTTGATCTGTTTCCCATAGAAAAGCATGCTCTTTTGTATTAAATAGGCCGTATTATCGGAAGGAAATACAAAAGTGATGACAGCTTAAACCTGAAGGAAATTCTGTGCATTTATCAATCTCTCTGTATATGGGTAATGTGTCACTGAAAAATGTTGCATCGCTGAAATCCTTTGTTAATGCTGCTGGAAATCCAGAGCAAGTCCCCGAAGTTAGTGAAATAATGAGATTTATCTGTTATAAGAGTAGCTTTAGGGTTTTGTATTACTTAAGAAAATGGCAAGTGAAATAAAATACAACATTTTTCTAATATTTTACACTGATAACCCCTGGGCTATGTGTTTTCTCTTCTGGAGAGGATGGAGAGGTCACTCCAGAAAAGGAAGGGTTAAGTAAAATTATTCTTTCCCTCCTGCTCTCAGCCCTCTCTTTGGTTGATTGCTTTATAGATGCTGTAGGCATCTCTTCATCTCCTTCAAATTAAACATTTTACTGCTGCTGATCCTGTATTGTTGGATTTTTGTCATCATTATATTTGATTGGAAGTCTTGTAACATTTCTCAGGCTGGATCGTTTCTCATGCTATTTGTCAACTGAAAAGGGAAAAAAAGCCCACTTCCAACTCCAACAAGAATGAACTGAGTAATTCACACTCTCTCTGGATGTGTTTCTATCTCTGTTAGCTGCTACTTGAATTCAGCTTCTGATTAGCAATGCTACTTGAGGCTTTTCATATGACGCTGTCTGTAAATTCCCTGGCAGTTTATTTGTGGTGTTAAATCCCTTTTTTATTTGGCTGCTCTGGGCATTACAGTGTCAGGGGACAGGACCAGGAAGCGCAAGAGGGGAGATAATGTAGGTAGGGGCTGTGTGACAAATTTATGGGGCTGGGTCCTCGGCTAGTGTCGGCGATCCCGGCTCTGCTGCTTTCAGTGCTCAGTGCCGATGTAGGTACAGATCCGCTCTCGACTGTAACCCCTCTGTTTGGAAACGTCAGTCCTTCTCTTTGAAAACAGTCCATGGACAAAAAAGAAATCCTCAAGAGCAGCTGAGCGATTCAGTTCATTGGAACATTATGCTCCTTTATTACAAGAGATGTAATAAAACATAAACCAGAATATCTGTCATCTCCATTTGAGTTTCTCCTGTGCCCCAGCTCCTTGGTTAGCTCCACGTCTATGACACCGTGAGTATTTACGTGCTTGAGAGGAAGATGAATCTGTTGGTACCAAGAATCATTTGCAGCGCTTCTGCCCACCGGCAGCTCTGCCAGGAGTGTGGCAAGCCCTGCCTGTCACCGGTGGTGACACCTGCTTTTAGCTGACAGCGTGGAGCTGCCCTGAAGCTGCCTCCTTGTTTGGGCACTTTCCGTCACTGTCACAAGCGTCGCTCCGCGGCGGCAGCAGCAGCGACCGGTGCGGCAGTCGGTGGGACGTGCAGTCGTGTGTCTGCACACGCACGTGCCCGCCCTCGCACGCGCACCCGCTGCTCGTCGAGGCACCGGGGACGTGGCGCCGGGTCCTGCCTCTGCGACCGGTGCTGAGCAGCAGCTGGAGGTGTAGCCCCTCTCGGCCGGCCGAGTGCCGTCAGGTGCGGCGGAGGAAAGGCAATCCCTTGGCCAGGCTGCAGGTCGGGTCGATTTCATGGCATCTCCTCCAGGTTCAGCTCTCGGCCACACGTGTGCGGTGGGCAGCGGCTGGGGACTTCGATGTGCTTTTCAGAAACTGTGACCGGAGGTCGCTGATGTTACAAATTACTATGACAGCAACGTTTGATGAAAGAAATGGATAAAGGGCTCTTTGGCACGCAGCCTTTTTATTTATTTGCATAACAGACTGATATTCCACAGCGGACTTCCCTCTTGCAGTAATAACTTGACTAGTGTAGCATTTTACTGGGGGCTCAGTACACGTGTAAAATTCAGTGCAAGTTCTCAGCACATTTCCATTATTTATCCTTATTTTTTTCCCTTTAGAGAGCTTTAATGTAGTGTTGATTTTCTGGATGTTACAGTTTGCATCAAAGATGTCTTCTTCCTGGGTGAAGTGCCAGAATTCCCTCTTACTTGTGGAAGGAAATATTTATCCATATTGATTTTGTTAGCTCTGTAGCATTGAGTTCTAATAATTATTTCCCTGCATCTGAAGAAACCTCTGGGCAAATACAGCCCGCAATCCTGTAGGGGATTTTTGCCGGTAATCTCTCTTGTATAGATTTGGTTTTAAAGAAAGCATATGGAGCTCCTCTGTATTTCTAACAATTCCGAGCGGGTATTTTTTCCCCTGGAATAAGGGCTGCACGAGGCCCTTTCTTAGTCATTTTAAGTGGCTGTTAGGAAGACTAAGAGCTACATGTGCTTTCTTTGAACTTGCCGAAAAGGAGATACTGCTGGTGAAAATCTGTTACAAGACTGAGAAGCGTGTTTGCCCAGAGGGTTTCTCAGAATGGAGGGCTATAATTATTTGAACTCAGAACTCCTCAACTAGTGAAATTAATAGAGATGTAATACAGAGAAATCTGTTCAAGAGACACATAAAAGCCAGCTCTTGTGAAGCAACTGAACTGACTACGATGTCATTCTTCATAGAAGGGAAATCTTAACAAATCTCTGTGCTTTTATTATTAATTTTTTTCTTCCATAAAGCAGCTGTGATGGATTTTAATGCCAAATCATTATTCATGATAAAGTAGCACCTGACAATCCCATGTGTGACTAGGCCTTTGCGGTGCTTGGCATCTTGTAGAAACGGTGAGAGTCTCTAGCCTAAAAAGATGAGAGGAAACAAGGAGGGGGGAGAAGAGGAGCAAAGCAGGAGAATGACTTGTCTGAGATGGGACAGCTGGCCGGTCATCATGGCCACGAGACTGTAATACCTTTTGACTTAATTTTTATTTTGGCTATTCTATATTTCTTTTTTTTACTTGCATTTTGTATTTCTTACTTATTTTGTGGTTTTATGTTTCTTTTACATCATTTACCTTTTATATCACTTTCTCCTTTCAGTCTGTAGTTACTGGTAGAGCTGTCTTAGAGGTGAGAAAGGTAGTGGAAAATGAATATCGATTTTCTTTTCTTCACCAAAGTAAAGTAGACCCTGTGTAAAGACCTGTACAGGTGCCCTTATCTCAGGCACCGTCAGCATGTACATGAAGTCTCTGTCTGTTTGATCTTGTAGGTGCTGCACAGACAGCAGTCCCAGCCTGCGAAGGAGAATTCCCCACCTAGAGAAGAGGCTCCTCCTCCACCCGCTGAGGACAGTTGTGCCAAAAAGCCAAGATCCCGTACCAAGATCTCCTTGGAAGCTCTAGGTATCCTTCAAAGCTTTATCCACGATGTGGGTCTCTACCCTGATCAGGAAGCCATCCACACCCTCTCTGCTCAGCTGGATCTCCCCAAACACACCATCATCAAATTCTTCCAGAACCAGCGTTACCACGTAAAGCACCACGGGAAACTAAAAGAGCATTTGGGAACGGTGGTTGACGTGGCAGAGTACAAGGATGAGGAGCTGCTGACGGAGTCGGAGGAGAACGACAGCGAGGAGGGCTCTGAGGAAATGTACAAAGTGGAGCCTGAGGAGGAGAACCCCGACAAAAGCAAGGCGGCTCCAGCGGACATCGACCAGAGATAATGTGAGATAGGAGTGCGGAAAGCAATACATTGATCCAAGGATTTTCTGTTTTTATTTTTAATTTTTTTCTCCTTTTATTTTTTGTTTGTTTGTTTCCATTGCGCATGATCCATGTGCAAACCGAATGAATTCAGCATTGCCCGATCAGACATCGCCTTGACACAGACACTCGAGTGTTACACTTCCTACGTTTGACTGAAGTAATCATTGTAATCACATAGGATTATGCCTTCATTAATCTTGCACTTATGAAAGGGACATCTAGCAAGTAAATGGGAAGAAAAAGTCCTATGAAATCAATGAAGGAAAATTTACAACTTTGTGTGTATATATATATATTTACATAAAATATATATATATTAAAATTGCATGGGACGGAACTTTACAAACTGAAAGTATAGACTGTGAAATGAGTTCTTTAAAGATGAGACTTGTTTATGTATTAAAACCACTTCACAATGAGTTGCTTTGGCTTTTTGATAAACTGCCGTCTGCTCTCAGGGTGTGGTGACTATTTTTGAATTCCTATTTATTTTCTATGTTTATCCCTTTTTTTTTTTTTTTCATTATTATATGGCTTCCTATCTGGCAACTTGATGGGTAATTTTTGAGGTATGTATTTAAAGACATAAATCAACACTGCCAAAAAAAGAAAAGAGGAAAAAAAGAGAGAAAATGGAAAAACAAATCAGGGCACCTTAAAAAGAAAACTAGTAAAGTTAAAGTACTTTAAACACAATGCACACTTAAAAGGATACAGCATGTTCCACTCTCCAGACAGTCCTTTCCATAGTGAACAGATGAGTTTTCATGGGATTCAAAATGACTAAAACTGAAATTCAGTGCATAGAAGACTTGTCCGTTAACGAGGTCTTTATAGAAAGAGAAGAAAGATAATGTGTTGAGATTTGATGTATGGAATTCATACTATGAACCACATTTTACTGTGGATTTTATTTACCTGTTCTCTGTTTCAGATCTTAACATTTATAAGCTTCCTTCTTGTTGCTTTTTGTTTATACTGAGGTGAAACACACGCGCGCATGCGCGCACACGCACACAAGTGTAAAGTTACATTGGGACACAAAATGCCACAATCCCAACAATCCTGTCCAGGTAAATTGCTGACAGACCGAGGATTTGCGTTGCTGACTTCCCATTCGCCCTTCTCGCCAGCCTCCCCCGTGTTTCTGTTTTAGCTGGGCTTCCTCCGTGTCACGCGTTTTGTGCCGGTGAAATGAAGTGTTTTCAGCCGTGGGTCCCGGGGGCTGCAGCCCACCTCCAGTGCGCGGCGTCCGAGGCGCGGGCGCTTCCCGGCCTCCCTGCCGCGGGGGGCCGCAGGCGCACGAGGCCCTTCGCACCCATCCGCCTCCCTGTCGAAGGGTTTCACAGCGACCTAGCTGGCAGCTCCGTTACATAAAGCAGAGCTAATACTGACTGACTCTTCCATGGCATGAGCACTAAAGCTGCAATCTACTATAGTGTCCACCCGTTCTGAGGCATCGTGTCGAAAGAGACACCAAGTAGCATTTACTTTTCACTTCCATGCAATGATTTCCGAGACAAGACCTCACCTTTGCTACTCTTGCAGCTGGATTGATTTCAGGCGCCTGTTCAAACCGCAATCATAACCGTACCAACAAGGCTGCTGGGTTTTTTCTTCCTTTTTTCACATGGGCTTTTCATGTAACCTTGACAAAGACCTCACGCAATATCACTTTGAAAGTTTCTTTCTGTTTACTACACCAGGCAATGTAATATAACTGTTAATACTATTTATATATTTGAAAGGTATAAAAGGTAGGAGTTAAAAACGAAAAACAAACCTCTACGTGTAGATATTTACTCAGAACAGACAATATACAGGGAGAAGACGTTGCAATACAAGCTAATTCTAGCTGCTCAGTAACCTCTGGAGTTTTTAAGGGATTTTTTCAAAACTAACGTTTGAAACGTAAGAGTATCTCTGCATAAATTTCATATACCTTTGCAAAATGATGGTGGGTTGCTTACTCAATGCCCCTTTTGCTCTTCATCCTTTATTTCTGTAGTATGCTGCAGCTTTAATCAGAATTTCAATGGTTGCTGCTTTGTGTTTCTCTCAGAGCTACTCTTTGAAAACTGTCTTCTTATCCTGTAGCTGAAATCACTCCATACATTTGAAAGGAAACTGAATTTTACCAAGCTACGTAAGGTTGTTCATCTGATGATGGCATCAACATTTGGTATCTTTTACACTTCAACCAAAAATTTTATTAGGTATTTTTTCAATGCTGAGTCTTGCCTTTTTATTTTTAATTTCACTGCCAATTTTGCAGTGGTTCTAAGTGAATCTGTGGGCATTTTAGCCTGTGGTCTTGCCAGAACTTTGCGAATTACAATGCATATATGTCTATTTATTCAATATCCATCATATAATATCTATTTGGAGAAAGAAACTTTTCTTGTAGTGCCTCTTAACAAAGCACAATTTTCCGCCTTTTTTTGTGAAATAAAAAATAAAAAAAACAAATTGTGTTTTATTGCGGTATCAACAATGTGAATAAGGATTAACATATTGTAAATGTTCTTTTTTCCATGTAAATCAACTTTATCTTTGTTATCACTAAGTGATAATTAATTTTTAACTTATGTGCATTGTTAGGCTGTTAGAATTTTTTGGTTGTTGAAATAAAACGCATTCAATAAATATGACTTAATTTGTCAAGTAATTTACTGGGCCTTTTTCTTTTCTGCTGAGTTCAAGTGGAACAAGGTCTGCAAAATGGAGAGGGCATAATTGCATATTGAAAAAAAGAGTTGATCAGTGTTAGTGGAGTTTGAAAACCTGCATAAGCCCCCTGGGGTCGGCACAGCTGACAAATCTATGTCACCCAGGACTGATCTGTTGTGTAACTGGCTTTTTATGTACACACATCTGCACACGCAGAGAGTCTCCAACGGGATCAGGAGGAGAGTGTGGGTGCCACCAGCCTGTCGGAGAACAGACTCAAAACACACACATAGAGATCCACTTCCAGGCTGCCGTCTTCTTTTGCTGGTAGATATTTTCTGTTTATAATTAAAAAGCCACAAATGACTGCGTGTCAGGAAACTTTTTGAGCACACATGTCCATGGTTAATGGACATAATAAAAGGCTTTATTATATTTATAGCAGGGCATCCTACTGAGTGTCTAGAGGAATGCCGGAAGGATTGATGTATCTGAGAAATGTGTGAAATGATTTTGGGGAGAATACAGATAAATGGAAAAAGTTGCTCAAAATTCTTAAGCTAACAAAGTGGTGAGTGCCTGGATTTAATCCTAGCAGACAGATCATATACTGTACATCAGACTTGAGTTGTCTAGGAATTGAGGTAGAGCAATTTTTTAAAGCTTTTTTTTTTTTTTTGGTAGTTCCAATGCAATAGTTCTTCTTTTCATGGCTTATTCACATCCTATATAAAATACCTATGCAGTCCCTTGAGGAAAAAAATAAGGGGGTGGGGGTGGAAATAACCACATTTTTGGATATCCAGCCACCTGCTTGTCACTTGAGTTTCCTGTTTGTATCAGGAAAGCGCTGTGACTCAGAACACCTGGAACCTGGTGCTGGTGAGCTGCTTCAGGTCTGAACTGAGGGCACAGTCCTGATGCACAAGGCATGCAGGCCAGGCTGGGGTTCTGCTGGTCTTCATGGGCGTGGGAGGTGACAGAGGGCATGAACGGGCCTTCGAAACTGCGCCCGCACCCCGGGCAGATGCTGTGAAGGTGCTCATGGTGTTGGATTTGGTGTCCTATTCTGCCTGCCAGTGGGACAAGAAACAAAAGGAGAAGCAGCTCTAGCTTCACTGGTAGACAATTTTACACATGCGCACTGTGTGTGTGTGTGAAGCTAAATAATATTTCGAGAAAGACACACACACACATATATATTTTAATTGGGGGGGGAAAATCCTATAAACATATGGGTTCTTGTTCCAAACCATAAAAAAAAAAATCATTTAATAGCTGCTATAGCAGAAATATTTCTATTAATGCTTCTATTTCTCTATACATGCTGCTGCTCCTATTTGTTGTTCATGTTTTAGTCATCCAGACATATGTATTTCCAATTTCAAACCTGTGTGAATGAAAAATAAACATTTTAAGATTAGTTTAAAATGGTTTTAAGATTATGAATATACTGTCTATTGCCTGAAGTTCATTGTTGCTTTGATAAAAGTATCCATTACTTAGTAACCAATTATTTGCTCTAGATTAAATGGATTAGAATCTTTCATTGATGAAATTTTGTTTCTATCCTGAACCTGTTATACATGGAGGGATAAAAGCTAGATACATTTGACAGTGAGCAAATGGCATCTTAAAATCATAAACGAGTCATTACAAAAAATCTCAACTTACAATATAAAGTGCAGTGATTAATTAAAGATGCAGTTTTAACTTATTTATAGCCATTAAAAAAACATACCAGTTTTAACACTGAATAACATGAGCCAAGTCATCCAGGGGAGAGATGCTGGCAGCCTGAGACTTGGGGAGCAGGCAATGTGACAAAGCCAACAGGGAACAGCAAATGCAGGCCACCCTTGAAATCTTTGGAAAAGTTCACGGAAGCAAGGATGGAAAGAGGTGGCTCTGGCGTCACTGCCAAGATCCCCTTCTTTTTGCTCACATATAGACAGTTCAGGAGTGTGAAAGCCCCATCTCACTGCGATGGCAGGAAACCTGTGTGCTCACTGCTTGGCTGGGGTGCAGACAGCAGGGAGCTTGCCAACTGGAGAGCATGCTGTGGGTGAGTCAGCCCTACCTCAGGCAAAAAGATGATACGGGTGAGGGAGAGACAGCAGCAGTTCAAGTGCAGATTTCTGCGCTTCCAAAATTTTTGGTTGCTGATGGCCAAACGCTGGGCTTGCTTGACTGGTGGGTGTGGTTCACTGCAGTCGGGGCGAATAAAGGTAGTAGGAGGCAAGGTGAGGCTCACATGCTGAGCTGGTGAGCTGTGGCTGCTGTTCCCATCTGGTTTGACTGTGTGAAAGGCTGCCCTGCTGCTGAGCAGCTCACCTCTGCCGGGGGTCCTACGCACACACCAGGCACATTGCGCTCCACCCCTGCAACTGCCGGCTCTGTCTGCAAGGCAGCGTTTGCGCAAGGCAAGAGTCATCCCCTCTGTCCTGTGTTAGTGTTTCAGGAGCTACAGCCAGTTCCTCCTAAGAGGAGGGGTGTAATTTACCCTTCAGAAGGGGTCTGGTCTTGATTTGAAGACCTCAGGAGCTGGAAAATCTACTGCTGCCCTCAGTAGTTTGTTTGAATGGTGGTTTCTCTCCCTGCTAAATCTGTACCATATTCTAAAGGGAATTTGCCTGGCTTTTCTGTCCTGGTTTTGTTTTTTTGTTAGGCTTTTCTCTTCTGGGTGAAAGTCCCAGGTACTGGGGGATGGTTTTTTCCTTCCGAAGTAGCTGTTCTGATCTGATGAATTTTCTTGAATTGAGGCCTTAGTATTCAACTGATGCTGATTGTTGCTATTTCAAGGAAAAATCTCCTTTGGCTAGTCACAGAGTTCCCCCTTGTACTCCTTTTGAGTGTGCATCAAGACAATAACAGAAAGAGAAGCTTTTTAATAAAAAAGCTATTTGCTGTTTGTGAACCTTGAATGTTCACAGATACT